CGTTGAACAGGTTGTTCAGTATTAATTTGGCAAAAGGAGCCCGTTGGTCATATATTCCGGAGATTAATGAGGACATTGTAAAGACTTGAGTGACAGTGATAGGTGCGATGATTTGTTGTGATCACAGAAAGCTCGAAGTCGATCTACTTCATAGGGCTAAGAAAACATGACTGAGCAAAAAGGAGGCCAGATGAATCTGAACAATAGTAATCAACCTCTGCGATATAGCTCTATTGCTCTAATACAATCAACGTCCGCAATGGTCACGGAGGAAAGCTTAGAGTCGATCACGTTAAATGAGCGCTTTCGCCGCAACAACTTCCTCATCATATACACAGCAAAGTCGCATAGGCAGACTGATACAGATAATGGTCGTTGGCTATGATTTATAAACAATTGTTCGCCTACGTCAGCACCAACTTCCGCAGTTCCAATCGTAACACCCTAGGCAACTGTTTCATTCACTGCATTGTGGACGTCCGTCGAGGTATGTGTGTGCACAAATCTAATATTAGAGTCACGATCACGATACCACTAGTCGGTTCCGATGATGGGACGTACAGTTGATCTATGGCCAACTTTTAAATTTAGAAGGTTACTTGATGATCATTCGTTGGCTTTACATTTCTCGTCAGGCCAGCACACATGGGAACGGGGTCAAGTACAGTGGGTCAGGGATGAGCGAAATCGATCAAGGTTCGTCTTAACACACAATCAAGATGTGATAATATCGGGAGAGGGGGGCAATTAATTGTTTTCACACCTCCCGCATTGCGAGGTCGGCATGTAGGGGTCATTGGACTGGGGGAAGAGGGACAGTGCGGTAGGTTGTGCGTATCGGTCACACAATCTACCCCTAGTAACCCCCTCCCCCAGTCAACTGACCTCAGCATACCGATCTCGCCATGCGGAGGTGTGAAAACGAATAATTTTAGTCGTATGACATTTATAAAGGCTTCCCAACTCTCCTATTTTTATAATAAATGCAGTTGTACAGGCGTGATGATGAATAGCCGAAAATATATGCTTGTCAAATTGACTTTGCAGCTGAATCGATTTATTTAATTAGTGAAATGTTTACCTACGGCCCGTTCGCATATTTATGAACGGAACTGATAATTATTTATTGAAACTTAAAATAGGCTCGCTAATTAATT